ACTTATAGTTAGAATTAGTGTTTGGGAAAGGTTTTTGGGGCATAGAACTTTTTATTTAGAACACATCACACCGATTAATTAGCCAGTTTTTGAGATAATACATAGAACTTCTGTCATGCTCTAATGAATTGGACGTCCGGTGGGGACTGGTACAGGAAAAGGAAAAGGTTGTATATCTATTTTTGATGACAAACCTGGAAAGCGGTTTTTTACTATACAATTAGCACTTATTACTTATGACAAACTTTTCTATTAAATAGATGTCTATTCAAAAATCAAAAAATTGTAAAAATGGATTGTTTTAATACGTAACACTCCATATACTCCAATGGGGTATTTTTTAAGAATAAACGAATTTACCAATTGCGAGACATATCTCTTTCATACAAAATTTCTACGTAACGTAAAGCCAATTCAAATAATTTACCCATTTGGTATTTTTTTAAACTATTTCCATAGCAAATATAAAAACATGACATATCTATTACAACTTATTATCAATATGGATGTCCTCTCTACCGGTAGAACTTTAGCATTTAATATTTTAAAAGAACCAAACATGCATGTTGACAAGAGTCAACAGATCGAAAAAACGGGAGAATGGTCGGGGGTTACGCGCCATGTGCTACAACCCCTGCTCGGTCGGGGATCGAATGAGACATCAGACCACAGGAATTTCATGCAAATAAAGCGACGTAAATGAAAGCCATCGACCACAATCAGTATTTAAAGAAGCGAACAAATAACTCGCAATACTCTGTCCTCTACCAACACAACCAAGCATTACAACCGTCTCTTTTTTTCTCGACCCCTCCCACCACACACAGTAGTCTCCTGATTCTGCCATTTTCCTATTTAACAACCGGCCTGTTTCGAGCAGGCGGGAAACCACCGGCTGATGCTGCTTCTCACTCGTTCTACTGTTATGATGATACCCGGCGCAATCTCACTTGCTAATTTTCCCGGGAGCATATCATCGTTTCAGTTCAAATTACTCAGCTCAAATTACTCACAATGTATTCTGCGGACTTAAAGTCCTTTAATTGAATTACCTTTGGCTAGCCGGTATACTTCCAAACACATAACCAGTCGTACCTATGCTTTTCGTCTTCGTAATGGTGTTCGAGTTCCAGAACTAAAGAAATTTCACAATCAATTACCATTCTAAGCAGTAATCAAGAACTTGTATCGAGAAGGACTTTTTATCAGGAGTGGCGAGATGTCCTATCACCAGTTGTCATAAAGACGTTGAAATTATAAAAGCCAACTCTCCACCCATCAGGAATGATATATCTAGTACCAGAACAATGCCAAACTAACTCAGCAAAGTACGGATACTATAGAGGACTTAGAATCAACCTCTGACTCGTCTGACCTTTTAGAGTTCCGCGACATGGATCAAAGAAAAATTTAATACAAAAAATAACGATGATTACGAATTTATGAAAGCTTTGGGATTACTCGAAGCCTTGGAGGTAGAGTAAGTTCAGTCAAAAAATCAAACTAGTGCGGACAATGGGAATGTTAAAGCCACTATACAAGCAACCTCTGCGAACAAGGAATCTCAGCCGGCAAATAAAACCGGTGCTCATAAAAAGACCATTACGCCAACTGCATCTGTAAGAAATAGTACTAACAAAAAAATCCACCTCATCGTTTAAACATAACAGTATTTTCAAAACATTTACAAACTTAATGCAAATAAAATTCCAAAACATACAAGATATCTTGCAGTGATCTGGTTTCGACTATAATATCCGATAAAAAAGATAAGAAGGATTGAAAAGTCTTATCGAAAAGTTAACTACAAATATATCAAGTTATTTAGGACTGTCAGATGGGAATGTCAACGATTATATTTGTACCAAAAATCACAAGCGCTGAATCTCGCAATGAAATTACAAATCAATAAGTCATATGAAGCTATTATTCTTTGGTATATTACTTTCAGTATTACTTTGAAGAATCTTATCATAAGCACACCTCTCAGATCGAATAAAGAAATCAGAAATCAGATTCCACCTGATATATCAATTCAGCTATTCAAAAAAAAGCAGTAAGGGCGAGAAAATTTTATATGCTATTAGCTATAATAGAGAAGAGTTGATAGGGCGGGTGTGATCCTATTCTGCTTATATGGGTCATGACATCAATTATAATATCACGTGACTGATTGACCAATCCGTTAATCTATTTTTAGAGCATATCTGATATACAAATAGGTATATCATATGATCACAGGGGCACACAGCGACGTGTTTTTACGTTACTCATTAATACAGTAATATAAATAACCCATCTTTTTGCGTGTTTCACAATTTCATACGTTCGCGTTGCTTGCATCATTTTTTAATGGGTAAATCTAAAATTTCTAAATGGCTAAGATTCGGTGTTATCGAAAGAAATATAGAGTACGCTCAAAACTACTCTCGAAGCATTACATAACGCATGCCTATTAAAGGTCTCTCGTGAGGTTTTTTCCAAAGCACTTTGTGATATTTTACGTAACGACCAAGCCTTTCATGAACAATCTGAAATATACACTAAAATATTTGATTGGTTCGAGAAAGAAAATTCTTCCCAACCATCAAAGCAATATGCAATATTCAAAAAATGAGTTTACTCTTCGGCTTTTTTTGGATCAAAGGTGAACAACAATTACAATACTGAACAAAAAAATGACCGAGAATCATCACCACCAATCAAACATGCTTTTTCGTTCATTGATGAAGAACAAGGTGCCTTTATTGAACCTATTCTTAATTTGGTTGAAAGAGCGCTTAACGAGGTTCTTATTGAAAACCAACATATGATTTCCTCAAAAGTTGTCGAGATCTTCGTAGCCAAACGGCGCCCTCCAATCAATCCAGGTTTTAGTAACGCCGACACTTAATGTATGCTTAATTTCATAATTGAGAATATAAAAATTTTTGACAAATCGGCATTTCACGGCCAACATAAATCAACTCCGACTGAGCTTTTTAAAAACTATAAGAACAATGTTAGAAATAAGGTAGCGCACAGAACCTTAATAGATCAAAAGGGTCGATGGAGCGATCACGAACTTCAACATATTACTATTCTTGCATGTGATGTCGTTACTTGTTTAGGCAAATAATTTATAATAACTTTGTATAAGAGTTTGAACTAACCTATTATTTCTTTTAATACTAGGTGGTAATTATAAAGGATTACATGCTTTAAAGGATAAACTCGATAGTAAAATTATTCAAAATGGACGAGCAACGCAACTACAGAGATCG